TTTATAAATCATAAAGAAGAACAACGGAACACCAAAAGTTAGACCACGACCCAACAAAGAAAAACAAAGCCCAAAGACTTGGCCAACACCACATACCAAGCCACAACAAGCCAAAATAAACAAAGCCCAACCGACTTAAACAAACAACAAAAAATAAAATAGAGGAGCATAAACCAAACTCCCCATTCCCAAACACGAGCCATCATATCAAAGAAAACTTCGCACAGGCTTCCTTGATAACCAATCTACACGCATAGAGATAGCATCATCAATGACTTTAACAAGTTGCAAAGACGTACGACTTTCCCCAGTAAAGAGACGTCTATTTCGCTCCTGCCAAATATAGTAAACAGATGCTGCCACCGCAAGCTTCTGTTTTAAACGTTTCGGACAACGATTTGAATCCGAAATTGTTTCCATAAAAAGATCCCATGTGGAAGGCATATCCGTCAGAGCCATAACATGCAATATACTATCCCAAACCTCTCGAGCATAAGGACACTGAAAAAATAAATGGAAATGGCTATCCATACACTGTCTACAAAGGGAGCATTCTAGATCCGGGGGCTCATCCTTCCAAATCATACGATCTTGAGTAGGAAGACGCCCCTAACAAGTCAGCCATAAACAGAATGCATGCTTAGGGATAAGGCCAGAGAACCACACTGCTTTATGCCAAGGAACAATAGGATGATCTCCCTCTAACAAAGTACAAGCATTACTCACCAAGAAATTCGCAGCAGAATTACGATCTTCACTCCAGAGAACTTTGTCATGAACAGAATCATTCAATAAAGGTAAAGGAGAAGACTGCAGTTCAGCAAACCGACTACTCCAATCATCCGGCCAAATACCATCCCAATTCAGAAGAAGATCACGAAACGTCGTAGAAGTAGAAAAACCACAAGAATGAACAAACCGATAAGAAATAAACGCCGAAACATGACCACAGGATAGCCAATTATCTTCCCAAGCATTTGTAGCCCTACCATCCCCAATCTGGGAAAACATAAATTGACGCAATTGACTTCGTAAGTCCAACAGTTTTCAAAAAACCCAAGACCAATTAGAGCTTTTCCGAACCATCCAGAAATGAGAAGAACGAAGATACTGACCATAAATCCAAGAAACCCACAATGAATCTCGATGCCTCACTACATCCCACACATGTTTCGCCAATAAAGCCCTATTCCAAATAGATAGCCTCTTAATATCGAGGCCACCAGCAGCCAAAGAACGACAAACCACATCCCAAGATAATCTACATCTACCTCTCAGATCATCCTTAGGAGCCTAAAGGAATTTCCCAAAAATAGACTCAATATCATGGATTATCCCTGATGGTAAACCGACATCCAATGAAGTTGAAGGGATTGCAGGACCGAAATTATAAGTTGCCGACGCCCACCAAACGATAGAAACTTGGACTTCCAATTAATTATCCCACCCTTTACCTTAGCAATTAACGGAGCATAATCACAAAGTTTCAACCGAGCCTGAGATAGAGGAACCCCCAAGTAGCGAACAGGAAAAGAACCAAGTTTAAAAGGGAGACACTCTAGAATGGCCTCCTTAATGTTGCAAGGCACATTTCCGAAGTAAATTTCAATTTTTTCAAGACTTGGAGCTAATCCCGAACGACATTGAAACAGAAATAACGCCTTCTTGAGCACTTCCACCGAAATAACATCCCCTTTAGTAAAAACAAACAAATCATCTACGAAACAAAGATGAGTCAATTCTAGCTCCTCACATCCCCGATGGTAACCAAACTCAGCAGCTTCAAGAATACATTGTTTAAGGAGCATAGAAAACCCCTCCATAACAATCGTGAAAAGGTAAGGAGATAAAGGATCACCTTGTCGCAAACCCCTTCCACCATGAAAGAAACCATAGGAATTACCATTGAATGAAAGTGAATAGGAAGTGGTGGACACCATCTCCCTTATCCACTTTACCAGAACCGGATGGAATCCTAAACCTTCAAGCATAACAACTAGGAAACGCCAATCCACCGTATCATAAGCCTTTTTAATATCAATTTTAAACGCACATCTAGGTGGGCCATTAGACAACTGGTACCTAGAAACAAGCTCATGGGCCATAAGAATATTATCCGTAATCCTCCTACCCGGGATAAAAGCCGATTGGGCTTTATCAATTAGCGAATCCAAGGATACCTTCATTCGATTAACAATGACATTACTAATGCATTTGTAAAGCACATTACAACACGCTATTGGCCTATAATCCGTAACCTTAGAAGCATTAACAGCTTTCGGGATAAGGCAAATAAGAGTATGGTTCAAGTTCTTGGGAAGATTACCTCGATAAAAGAAGTTGGGCCTATTTAGTTGGAATCGAGTCRTTTGGATCAAAATGACAATAAAATGGGTCATAATTAATGTGATTAGACCCTAGTAGGTTAATAGGCCCATTTATCCATAAGGATTCTAATTGGCCCAAAATGACACTAATTGGATCATTTTTAGTTTGATCAGACCTTAATGGGTATGAATAGCTAAATTCATCAGAATTAGTCTAATCAGACATCAATTGGAGTGATTGAGGGTCCATTTGGTGTCAGTGGATATAATTGGCCTATTTCTCCTTAAGAAGTCCAATTGGGTCAACACGACTCAAACTGGATCATAATTAGTCTTTTTAGACCCTAATGGGTCTGATGGGCCAAATTCTCCGTACGGACTCTAATTGGGTCAAAATGACCCTAAATGGGCCATATTTGGTTTGTTCAGACCTTAATGGTTATCATGGGCTTATTTATCCTATTCGAGTCTAATTGAGCCATAACGGTACTAAATGGTTCAAAATTAGTATAATCAGACGTTAATGGGAGTAATTGAGGCGGAATGGGTCTTAACGGTCCTTAGTGGGTCCAAAAGGTGGTAGTGGATACGATGGGCCTAATTCTCGTTAAAAAGTCCGATTGAGTCAAAATGATAACAACTAGGTCATAAATAGTCTCATTAGACCCTTATGCGTTTAATGGGCCCCTTTCTTTGTAACGAGTCTAATTGGGTAAAAATGACAATAAATGGGTCATAGTTAGCTTGACTAGTTGTTAATACGACTAGTTGGGTAGAATGTGTCTTAAGTGTCCTTGATGGGTCCATGTACACTCATAAGGATTCTAATTGGCCTAAAATGACACTAATTGGGTAATTTTTAGTTTGATCAGACCTTTATGGGTATGATGTGCTAAATTCGTCAGAATTAGTCTAATCAGACATTAATTGGAGTGACTGAGGGTCCATTTGGTGGTAGTGGACATGATGGGCCTAATTCTCGTTAAAAAGTCCAATTGAGTCAAAATGACACCAACTTGGTCATAAATAGTCTCATTAGACCCAGATGCGTTTAATGGGGACCTTTCTTCGTAACGAGTCTAATTGGGTCAAAATGACACTAAATGAGTCGTAGTTAGTCTAACTAGTTGTTAATACGACTAGTTGGGTAGAATGTGTCTTAAGTGTCCTTGATGGGTCCATGTATACTCATTGGGTATATTGGGCCTATTTAGTTGTAATCTAGTCATTTGGATCAAAATGACAATAAATGGGTCATAGTTAATCTGATTAGACCCTAGTAGGTTAATAGGCCCATTTATCCATAAGGATTCTAATTGACCCAAAATGACACTAATTGGGTCATTTTTAGTTTGATCAGACCTTAATGGATATGATGTGCAAAATTCGTTAGAATTAGTCTAATCAGACCTTAATTGGAGTGATTGAGGGTCCATTTGGTGTTAGTGGATGTAATTGGCCTATTTCTCCTTAAGAAGTCCAATTAGGTCAACACGACTCAAACTAGGACATAATTAGTCATTTTAGACCCTAATGGGTCTGATGGCCCAATTCTCCATACGGAGTCTATTTGGGTCAAAATGACCCTAAATGGGCCATATTTGGTCTGTTCAAACCTTAATGGTTATCATGGGAGTAATTGAGGCGGAATGGGTCTTAACGGTCCTTAGTGGTCCAAATGGTGGTATTGGATATGATGGGCCTAATTCTCGTTAAAAAGTCTGATTGAGTCAAAATGACACCAACTAGGTCATAAATAGTCTTATTAAACCCTGATGCGTTTAATGGGGCTCTTTCTTCGTAACGAGTCTAATTGGGTAAAAATGACACTAAATGGGTCATAGTTAGTCTAACTAGTTGTTAATACGATTATTTGGGTCATAGTCAGCTCTATCTCCTTAAGCCAACACATAGCTTTA